TTTTGTACCGGACGTTGAACTCAGAAGCTGTGCTTGCAAGGCAGGGGCCGGAACCATTGAGCTAAATCCCCGGCCCCTTGTTTTAAAATTCTACTGTGACATATTTGATGTCCCTTGAAATGATATTTAACTCTTTCTGTGTAATCATTATTTATTATACTCTGCTCATGTATTCAGTAATGCATAATTATTTTTTAATATCTATGAAAGTTAAAAGGTGATGATGAGAACCAAAAGCGATATTTCTAGGTTTTGGCTGCCTTCATCTTCTTTCAGGTAATTAAACAAGTATATCTTCAGTGTTATTTATTCTTCTTTAGGGAATTTATTCTTATTTGGCATAAGAGGCTGCCTATTCTTTTTCCTTTTATCCCATTGAATTTTTCCAAAAATATGTATGCAAACAGCTCTAATGAGAACTCAGTCTCTGGCATTTCTTTGTTCACCAAATAAATTATTAAATTATGAGGTAAAAGTTGGACACGGGAATAAAATCTACTGAAAATACTGTACTAACTCAAAACAAAACATTGGAAATATGTGACTGTATTTGTGTGTATGTGTGTATGAGCTCAAATGTGTGCATATGTAAAGTGATAGAAATTATTTACATTTATATAAATTCTGATATTAGCAGCATCAGTAATATGTGTTTATAGGCCTCATATTAAGGCATTATGTCTTTTAATCCACACAACAAACTAAAAGTTTTAGAGGGGAAGAAACTAATGTTTAGAGAGGCTAAGAAACAGAAACAATAAGTGACACAGTCAGTTGTAGGCTACAATCTTAACTGAAAGATTATATACTCTCAGATGAATTAAGAGAAAGTATAATATTAAGCAAACACTTTCTTTTCTGGCCACATTAGCCAACTATAGTAGATCCACACTAAAATAGAATTTATTCAACATTCACTTGAGACAGACCTGGGAATGGGATTCTCTAGCACAACTACCTACGATGTAGTGTACTAGTTCTAGGATAAGGCTAGATTTGAGGACTGCCTTCTGTGTGGCTTCATTAGCAAAGCATCTGATCCCTTTTGGGAGAGTAGTTTCCAGACAGTAGTATTAGTGAATCTAAAACCATGCTGAAGATACAGAAACAAACTGTCTAATGAGAAAAGGGAAACTCTGATTGGACAGAATAAGAAATGAAATGAAACAAAGTACTAAAATAGAGGAGGATCTTTTATTTAAATCGAAAGTGGTTCTGTATCGCTAGAGGGAAAACAATCATGACGAGAGGGATAGACAATGTGTCAAGGCATCTAGGTTTTACATTTCAACTGTGGAGAGAGTAGTGTCTTTCTGAGATAGAATGTGCAGGATGAAAATATCAAGCAAACAATTATTTACATTCAGAATGTATTTATAAAGAAATTTGTTGGGGATACATTGGAAATGTTCATTTGACAGTTGTGTATGGATGAATTTGTACCACAGGAAAGAAATATACTTTGCAGATTAAAGTTAAGGATAACATCTTGATGTGAATGTAGTAGCATTGTAGTTCATTCTTCATATGGTGTTACAATTAACTTTAAACACATTATTTAAATGCATAAATACTTAAACACTATGATACAACTTTGGTTATTTGATTTTTTTTCCCCTCACAGTATTCTTATTTTCATTAGGTTATGAAGGTGAAAATCTGATGAAAATCCTAAAAGGTATTGAAACCAGCACAGAAATCCTGCTGGACAGGTGGAAGTTTGAAGTTGTACCGAATGACAAGGACGAGAAGGGAGACCCAGTGCCTTACACTATCATCAACAATTACTTTTCCATTGGCGTGGTAAGATTTTCCACTCAATCTTTTTTTAACCTTTCCTGGATAATCACCCTGTGAAAATTCTCCTTCTATGAAAATTTACTGATTTTAAATAATTTATTTTATCTTTCTGTCAACAAAATCTCTTCTAATGGACAATAATAATGTTTTTGAATTTATTTAATGTCAGTATCAAGAACTGATAAATTTTTCATGTGTTACACAAAGGAAAGAAACTATATTGTTATTGGTGTTTGACCATTTCTGGCAAAATGAGCTTAAATAGTTTATAAGGTACTTACAAGTTTTAGAGTATAAAGTAAAGCACGATGTTAGGAAAAATGTGAAAATATTGTATCAAATTTGATCGTACTTTTGATTTCTGTGACAGTTTTGTTATACCCTACTAAAATCTATTTAAAAGCTATTGCTATTCACAAGTGGTTAGTAAATCAAATGACTGACTTTATTTCTTTTTTAACCATATAATGAAAGTAAGATATCATTTGGCAGTTGAAGGTTATTCAAATTTTAATACCTAAGGAATTAATAATTTTAACATTTATTTTATTTATATGTATTTAGTCAATAATTATGAGTTAAATATATTATCTATAGCATTATATTAAATTTAAGGTATTTCACTTAGTGTAAATCTATCTCATCTCTCTCTCACCTCACACACATACAAACACATACACACAGACAGACATTAGTAGACCATAAAAATCATTGGTTTTGTCTATGAATTTAAGAGTCAATCTACATCAACATGGGACCTTCAGCAAATTATGTAATATGAATGTCTGTGCTTTCTTGTATTATCTGGCTTATTATTTCCTCTTTCAGAGTTGCAAATAATATGAATATACACTTTAAAGCCTCAAAGAGTGTTAGATCATAAAGGCAAAATACACAATGCTATTAATATTACGGTAGTTAATATTGTCGGCTAAAACTGGAAAGGTGGTGTCCACATTTATCCTAAGAAGCACTATAATGCATATTACTATAAAATGTATTTTAGAAGTTTTAGTACTGTATAACTTATACACAACCTAATTGACTTATTTTATGTGTACATTTCAATGGTTCTTATAAACTTTTCAAAAGTTAAAACACTTTATCACCCAATCAAGAACCTTAATATCCAGTTGTAGTCAATTCTATCTCTTTCCCGCAGCTCCAAGCAACAAGTAATCCTTTTTATCTAGTATGTGTGTTTCATGGACATGTCATAAAAAAGTAATCATGCACTGTGTGGACATTTCCATTTCCATTCTTTCAGTTAGCATTAGATTTTTGAAGTTCACCCATGTAAACATGTTAATACTGGTTTTTATTTTCTTAGTGAGTAGTAATAGACTATAGGTATATAACCCTTAGTTTTTATTCTCTCAAAGACCGATGGACATTTGTATTATTTTTAGTCATTGGGTAGTTTGAATTATGTCAATTTCTTGTTTTTATCTCGGAATCATTTTATGTTTTGGTTAATATACTTTTTAACTCCAGTGTTCATTTGGTTCTTTTTTTGTAATTTCTATGTTTTTAATTATTATTTTCTCTTTGGAAAGTTGTTATATACTTTCTCTACATTTTCCAGTTGTTTTGTTTAGTTTGTGACATATTTATAATAGCTGTTTCGAAGTCTTTATATGCTAAGTCCATCTGGGGCCCATGAAAGAACTTGAGAACATACAGTTCTTATCAGAGCCTTTATTTGTTTTTTGGATTATTTGGATTTTCCTAAACATGCAACATACTTTAATATTTCTTTTCATATTTTGTTGAAAACTGGAAGTTTTATTTGATACATTGTAACAACTTCAAATCCTCATTCTCCCACATCTCCTATGTTTAATTATTTAATGACTCAGAGGTGGAGACCTGCGCTACTCTGGTGTGTGAATGCTGATGACTCTGTGGAATCTCATATTTAATTCTTCTTTCATTTTGATCCTGGTTTCCTAGATATCCCCCCCGCCATGTCAATATGACTTACTGGAGACCATGCACAAGTTGAGCTAATAAATCTTCTCTTTTTCATTGCATGGATCCATGTGTTCTTTAGGATCAAAATTCACATAATTATAAGATAATTTTAGTTTTTAGTATTTCTGACTTTTGTTTCTTCTACTCATGCTCAAAGCCACTCCTTTAAGCAATTATATGAAGATAACCGGGACTCTCTTTGCACTTCTGAGCATGTACACAACCTTCAGTCAGCCAGAGAGAGGTAACAGTTCATCACGGAGCACTACGATTGTCATTCCTGAGATTCCTGTTTAGTTTTTGCTAGTTCTCTGCTTAGTGGCTTGTTCAAATCGGTTTATCAAGTTCATGCGTCCTTGACCTTCCCTAATCATTTGGCACAGAGGTCGCTGCTATTTCAGACATCTCTCAGGGCATGAAGATTTTCTGGCTTCCATTACAAGTCACTGCCCTGAGAAGGGAGGTGTTTCTTTCCCTGCTTGTTCTTCCCTGATGGAACTGCAGCACCACTGGAGTAGGAGAGGAAGGAAGCAGCACAAAGCTGACTCTGAAAATGACCAGTGAGTGTTCTTGTTTGAGGTGCAGCGCTTTTTTCTGAATGAATACTTCTCAATTTGCTTTATGCCTTCACTCAGTTACCTGTGGGTCTCAACAGGGGGTAGTTGCCACTCTTTCCAGAAGATCCTTGGTGATGTCAGGTCCCATGTTTGACTGGTATGACTAAAAGAAGGATGCTTCTGGCAACTAGGGGGTAGAAGGCAGTGATGCTGCTAAATATCCTCAATGGCTAGTACAACCTTGCAAGCACGCCTCATAGAATTACACAGCTCCAAGTATCAGTGGTGTTGATAGTGAGAAATACTGACATCATCAAACACAAACATTTAAATACAAAATCTAAAGATTTGGAAATGGAGAACAGCAAAAGTCTAAAGAAAAGAGATGAAAAGTTTAAATATAAAAACCTGAAAATAAGCAGAGTACAAAAACACAAAATACAGAATATTAGCAAAATCCAAAAAACGAATTATTGAAAATAATTACTCAGACCTATATAAAAATTAAGTCCATCAATTTGCAAAGTGAATTTCAATTTAGCAGTGTAGAGTAAAAGAGAAAAAGTAAACACATAGGTAGTGAAAAAGTGAAAAAAATATGATGTATTTGTTTCATAATTGGAAAAAAAGGCTTTACTCCCTGTTGAAAATATATTTTGCCACTATAAGAATGAACTAAATTCACCAAATGTAAAATCAAACTTAAATATTCATTTGCATTCCAATATATTAATAACCAATGAATCTACAAAGTCAATAGCAAGCACACATGGAAATCATCTAGAAATTAATGAAGAATATACATGATTTTTTATAGAAAACATTTCAACTCTGCAAAGGCACAAAAGATCAAAATAAATGGAGACATTTTCTATTCTGACATGAAATTTCTTGGCACAATACATGAATTAATTTATACATTTGTTCTATAATTAAGATGAGAGCTGGGTTTTATGACAAGTTTATTCTTTCCACATATATTTAAGTTGTACATAATTCAAAACATGTCAATTTTAATAATAATGAAAAGAGGAAAGCTTATTTAGCAAATTGGACATGCTGAGAGTAGATTGCCTAGTTAGAATTGTGGTACTGAAAGAATGGTTGAATGAATCAAGGGTAGGAGAGAGACAAATACTAGAACTTTGTATAGGGCTTATTCAAAATCTCACTGGAAATGACAGATTATGTATTGCTAATGTTGAAAAACTAGCTTCCTAGCAGAAAAAATTAAATAGAAGTCTATTTTACATTATATAAGTAAAGGATGGATATGCTGAAGAATTAAATTTGAAGGATCAATAGAAGGCCTAATAAGGGAATAATAATAGAATAATATTTAATAGAATATATTTATGATTTTAGGACAAAGCATGACCAATTAGATAAACTAGGTAGGTTTTGTTGGGGTTTGCTTTTTGAAGCATATAGTGTCCCAGAAAGGCAAAAGAGCAATGCTCAGGTCACAATCAAAGCAATAAATCTCATGGAGCTTTTATGCTTCAAATGTTGCTCAACAAGTCTGCCTTCTACTCAATAACTGGAATTCCACTTCCAGAGTCAGTGAATCTACACAAAAATAATATGAAATTCATAATCTAGTTCAAGCTATTTCTGAAAATATCAAAACTAGTATTATTACAGTTGGAGACCAGGGTTCAAACTCGGGACCTTGCACTTGTAAGGTAGGTGCCAAAACCACTGAGCTAAATCCCCAGCCTTGGGATAACTCTCGATAGAATGCTTACCTTGCAAATTGGATCCCCAGCACCATACACAGAAACACAAAAAGTAGTAAAATGAAGTATGAGGGGGATATCTCAACATTTTGTCACTCCAGGCATGAGAAAGAATGAGGTGAGGGTATAAATTGAATGTTCAGTTGTCTCTAGGAACCCTCTTGCCACTAACTACAACATGTAACCAAAGTCTGACTGTATTTTCAGTAGTGTAATTTTCAAGTATTCATCTTCACATACTGACTGAAAGTGCCTTACAATCAACAAAACACTTTGCCTCAAATTTGTAGGAGTATCATCTTCATATTCCCTGAGTTGCAGTGGGTTAACAGCTGGCACAAGCAGCCCTAAAATATCAGTGCTTTAACAATGAGTTAACATCAGTTCTCCTTCACATGACATGTCAGGAAGTGGTGACATTTGTGAGAAGTTCTGCTTCATTTTGGCAATCAATGACACAGGATCCTATAGCACTACCTTCCTATAGATACATAGAACCTTCTGTATCCAACAAATGGAGACAAAAGAAAGTGGAGTCTTGGAGAGTTTTATTCTTTTTCTCTTTTTAAAGAGACCAGACCTGGAAGACTAACATTGTTTCCACTCATAACACATTGGCCAGATCTCAATGGCTTGCTTCCTCCCAATTATAAAGAAGCTACCTGCCCCTAATTGTAAGGAATGCAGTTTCTGTCTGCCCAGGAGGAAAGAAAAGTTAAAAAATAACTACACA